ATTAATTCACCATTTGTAAACTGATGTTTACGGTTCATTTTTTTTAGAAATATCAATAGCATTTGTATTGAAACTATATTCACTGAATGTATAAAAAAAAATCGAGAATCGAATTTAATCGGGACATCTGAATCGATACTCAGCCCTACTGATGACGGTTCAACAACACGATCTGGACAAAGAGCGACATGCTGAGACTTGAGTTCATCTGCTTCCTTTCCTTCATCTTTAACTTTGGGTTTAAAACATCTTCATCGACTCTTTCATTTGAAACTCATGTAAATCAGTGTGATTTATAATTCCTCAAAACAGAATATAAACATGCACCATCAACTACCATAACATACTTAAAGATCATTTCAGCAAAACCAAGAAATCTAACAGATATGAACCCATATTTACCATTAGATGGAGCCAGAGGTTTCAATGAGACGTTTCTGTTCATGTTTACAATCTCAGTCAAGTTGATGCTCCCAAACTGTTTTTTTTTTTTGTTCACAGAATGTGTTAGTTCAATACATTTGTTTTCTCTTTTTCAATTATATCCCTAAAGGCATTATATGAATAAATCCCATCTTCTTTATCTCCATTTTTTGATATTTCAGCAAGTTTTAGTGTAAAATGCTTAATATACTAATTTATATACTGTATAAGGAGGAATTTCAGAGTTTATCTTATAGTCATTTAATAGTGTTTCACAGTTTTAATTTGTAAATATATTGTGAGACATTCAAGAGCCTCAGTGTTCATTCAAATGGACGCGCAGCGCCATATAAGGAGAAAGGGGAGGAGTCGAAACTGCGCTTAAATCTCATTGGCTCTCGCGTGTATCGTCGTCGTGCCGTATTTTCATATTCAGAATCTAAAATAAGAACTAAAGGCTGCATCTCTGTGGATGAGATCAGAGCCAGAAACAGATGCAAATACATTATGAATCGTTTACACTTTTTTATTTTTTTTTATTGAGGATGTTTGTGTTATTTAATCACAGAAACTATATCTGCAAAATACATATTAGGATAAATTAAATTAATGTTTTATGCCTTCATCTGATTACCAGAAAAATTAAGAACATTTTATAGGGCCCTATTATTGTTTAAAAAAGGACCCATACAAAAAAAAAGTATAGGTTTAAAATACAGACATGTGGCTTAATTTATTTGTATTAATTCACCATTTGTAAACTGATGTTTACGGTTCATTTTTTTTAGAAATATCAATAGCATTTGTATTGAAACTATATTCACTGAATGTATAAAAAAAAATCGAGAATCGAATTTAATCGGGACATCTGAATCGATACTCAGCCCTACTGATGACGGTTCAACAACACGATCTGGACAAAGAGCGACATGCTGAGACTTGAGTTCATCTGCTTCCTTTCCTTCATCTTTAACTTTGGGTTTAAAACATCTTCATTGACTCTTTCATTTCTTCATCGACTCTTTCATTTGAAACTCATGTAAATCAGTGTGATTTATAATTCCTCAAAACAGAATATAAACATGCACCATCAACTACCATAACATACTTAAAGATCATTTCAGCAAAACCAAGAAATCTAACAGATATGAACCCATATTTACCATTAGATGGAGCCAGAGGTTTCAATGAGACGTTTGTGTTCATGTTTACAATCTCAGTCAAGTTGATGCTCCCAAACTGTTTTTTTTTTTTGTTCACAGAATGTGTTAGTTCAATACATTTGTTTTCTCTTTTTCAATTATATCCCTAAAGGCATTATATGAATAAATCCCATCTTCTTTATCTCCATTTTTTGATATTTCAGCAAGTTTTAGTGTAAAATGCTTAATATACTAATTTATATACTGTATAAGGAGGAATTTCAGAGTTTATCTTATAGTCATTTAATAGTGTTTCACAGTTTTAATTTGTAAATATATTGTGAGACATTCAAGAGCCTCAGTGTTCATTCAAATGGACGCGCAGCGCCATATAAGGAGAAAGGGGAGGAGTCGAAACTGCGCTTAAATCTCATTGGCTCTCGCGTGTATCGTCGTCGTGCCGTATTTTCATATTCAGAATCTAAAATAAGAACTAAAGGCTGCATCTCTGTGGATGAGATCAGAGCCAGAAACAGATGCAAATACATTATGAATCGTTTACACTTTTTTTTTTTTTTTATTGAGGAGGTTTATGTTATTTAATCACAGAAACTATATCTGCAAAATACATTCAGCAAATGGCTCTGAACTGTTGGACTTCTGTAGTATTAGAAAAACAATCAGACATTTTATTATGTGCACTTATTTATGACTGCAGTTGGTTGGACTTTTTTTGAAATGGGACTTTCCTCTGGAAGACCGGACTAAAACCTTCTGAAGTGAGAGTTGGGGTATATTATAACTATTTTTATCTTTCATATATCAAACAAATTGACAGCATCTTTTGAGTGGAAAGTTTGTGTCCATCTTGACTCAAGAAACCATTTCCTGTTTGTATCATACCTGCGGGTGTCTGAAGGGCTTCTCGGTTTGGCCCACAGAAGATAAATAGAGCAAAAGAAAACCACAAGCTGGAGAGCCTCTCATGTTGATGAACTTTATCACACTGACCACAGTATTAAACAACCCTGCAAGCTTATCATACCTGCGGGTGTCTGAAGGGCTTCTCGGTTTGGCCCACAGAAGATAAATAGAGCAAAAGAAAACCACAAGCTGGAGAGCCTCTCATGTTGATGAACTTTATCACACTGACCACAGTATTAAACAACCCTGCAAGCCCAATGCACCGAGACGTTTACAAGCAAGTCACTTTATGCTAGAAATGAAAAAGAGAGGGTTAAGACATTTTTCTGAAACTACACTTGTGATTTTAAAAGTCAAACGTATGTCTCGAAATCTCGAAAACGTTCAACTGTACAGACTCATGCAGTATTTTCACCGTTTCTCTCTCATAATATCACAACACAGCACCAGAAACTGGCATTTCACATTAGGTAATGCTGAATTCAGAAAAGCAAGCTGGCATATTACTCTTACTGCCATAAAAAGATGCATTATTATGCTTTGACTTTGCCTATAATAATGATGATAATGATCATTAAAATGAAACAGATTTACAGTAAAACCTGGAGTTGTCACTTGTTTAAGGCGGTATTTGCTTAATTTACCAATTTAACACAATGTCTGTCAGTCTCTGTTATTGATTTGTGGGCTCATTGTTTTGATTTAGTTTGACCGGTTTATGAAGGTAAAACTGTCAAGTCAAGCATGGCTAATTTGTTGATCATAAAAAGTTTTTCAGGTTTGGTTGAAGGTGAGTAACTGAATGAGCAGCTCTTATAGTCTTTATTGTCTTCTGTTCACAATAAATGCTCATCTTCTGTCTCTCTCTCTGTGTTCATGTGTCTCGCTGTGGGTTTCCTGAATAAAGCTGTTTAATCTTCACACTCAAACTAAACTGAGACCCTGAACCTTCACCGGTTTTCTGTGGCTTTGAAATTGACAGAAAAGTGGTCTGTTTATCACACAAACACAAAACACCTCCAGCATTTGTGAGAAACTTTGAGGAAAAAAAAAAAATCATAGAATAAAACTTTGAATATCATAATAACAATAAATCGTTTTAAAAAATAAAATTACTTTTCAGACGGAAGCTGGTTTGTAAACTGGGAGTATTGTTGTCTATGAAAAATAAAATAAACACGACTGGAGAAAGTATTTAGAAATCAGTGGAATTGAAATGCGAGCATAAATGAATTATTTGCACAGCTTTACTGGGCTCAACAAAATAACTTTCATCCATAGAAACATGTTTGAAAATAGCCATTATTTTATGATTCTGTTTAATGATGCATTAGAAAAAATATACACTTTATCTCAGAAAATAATATTTTTTTAACTTAGATTACATCTAGATGTGGAAGAAAAAAGTAAATTATATATATATATATATATATATATATATATATATATATATATATATATGTGTGTGTGTGTGT